AGAAAGAAAGAAAGAAAGAAAGAAAGAAAGAAAGAAAGAAAGAAAGAAAGAAAGAAAGAAAGAAAGAAAGAAAGAAAGAAAGAAAAAGAAAGAAAGGAAAAGGGAGGAAGGAAAATAGGTGTTAATATTTTCCAGTTAAGGATACTGAGGCAGGCAGAGGTTTGTAGCTAGTAATTGTCTGGGGCCAGGTTTAGAACTTTGATCTTCTTGAGTGCAGCCCTAGCACACTATCCATGAGCCATGGAATACTACTCAATCACAGTGCTAGATTCTTGTTTAGTGAGTGTGCCAAGGACCAATTCATAATTATCAACAGCTTGTACCTAATCAACAAAATAAAGAGATGGTGGATATACTCAAGCCCTAAACCAGAAACTTTTTTTTGATTCTACCACTAGTTAAGGTTGGACCTAAAGAATACCTTTATATATGTGACCCTAAAAGTTGAACACACCAACCTCCTCCTCGGCATGTAACCAGTGCTTCACGAAGTGACATTCACACCATCTCCTGATTGCTCAATATTAAGCTTCTAGAGAAGGAGGACATATTCTGCAGAGTCATAGTGAGATTCAAGTTCAAGACTGGCATAACTATGTAATCTTAAATCAATATCAATAGTCACTAGGCCAGCTTGGATTGTAGCCATCTGAGATGAGGAGGCCTTTGAACAAAGACAATCTGCAATCCCACAAGGCAAATATGTAGAACCCACTTCCTTTATTCACCACTCCCTTCCCTAATGGAGGCTCTGAAGGATGGGGAATGACTCAGATGCTCCAAAAATGACATGTTGGGGCAAATGGAAAGAACAATAAAATGAAATTGAATTCTGTGTAATTATACTGACCGAGCTTGTCCCCAGAGAAAAGATAAGAAAATGTACCTCCTATCTTCCATTGGAGAAATGGGGAACTATGAGTTCAGAATGTTGACTATGTGGCATAGTTGTCCAGCTGAACTGCTTTCAAAATAATCCCAAAACTTTTTTTTAACAAGGGGAGATGCAGTGGATAGGTAAGGGGGAGGGAGCACATTTGAAAATAAATGTGAAGTAAAAGCAAAAACATCAATAAAACTTTTTTTTTTAAAAAAAGAAAATGATGTGTTGGGTACTAGGTAGCTCAGTAAATGGATTGCCGGACGCACAGTTAGGGAGACTCATCTTCCTGAGTTCAAATCTGGCCTCAGAAACTTACTAGCTGTGTGACCCTGAGCAAGACACTTAACTTTATTTGCCTCAGTTTCCTCATCTGCAAAATGAGCCAGAGAAGGAAATGGCATACCACTCCAGTATCTTTGCCAATAAAACCCCAAATGGGGTCACAAAGAGTTGGACATAACTGAAAACGACTGAACAACAACAACAAACATTCTTCTACTGCCTATGGAAGAGAGGAGGGAAACCGTTCTGGTGTATCTGAGAGCTATTGTAGCCTCATTGTAGGGAGCGATCCCTGTTATCATATTCCTTTCTACCCTTTCCCTCACCATCACCATCATCCTTCAGTGTTCTAGAATGTTCCTTTTGTGGCCAACTGCTGTTGCTGTTGCATCGTGGCATTACCTAACATCACTCTACACCACCACATTCAATTAACAAGCATTTATTAACTGACCTCTTTGTCCTAGGTACTGTACTAGGTACTGGAGATACAAAGACAAAAATGAAAGAATCCCTGCCTTCAAGGAGTTTATATCTATTGGGGGAGACAATATATACTCATATAATTACCCAACATAATACATTCTCCAGAGATTTGCATCTTATTCTAATGACCCCATTTTATCCAAATTATATAGATAGATAACAATTGTGATGATGGTAATCATTATAACATAATTCCCTCTTTGCAATATGCCATATCTATCTATCTATCTATCTATCTATCTCTTTGTTTTTTCCTTTGTCTCAGCATTTGTCTGTGCTTCTACACCTGCTACATCTCATGAGGCTCTACTTTTTTCCTCCAGTCAGGGACATTCTGGATTTTCAGGTGACCAATGTCCTATAGCCATGGCCTCATTAAACAATGGGGTGTGGCTACAAACCAAAGGATGTTTTTCATAGGTATGCAGTGTGGAAGGGCCTGCAGTCCTCACCTGTCCTTCTAAATTACAGGTGTGCATGTGACTAGCACCAGTAGTAACAGCAGCTGACAACATAAATATTATCCTACACCAGGAGTTCTTACCATAGAGGTCTTCAGATTTCAGAGGGTCTGTGAACTTATATGTGGGGGAAAAATACATCTTTCTTTTTTCACTCATCTCTAAACTGAAATTTAGCATTTTATTCCATTATGATTTTATTTTTTAAAAACCACATTATTTCAAAACGATCCTAGGCTTCAACAGACCCTAGCCCCATACATGAAACTTCCCAGGAACCCTCCTTTTTGCAGTAGATCGTTTTAAAGCCATTACATCCGAGTAGTTCCTGCAGATTGTGAAAGCTGTTTTCATGTTCACTTCTTCACATTTGGAAGACAAGCAATAATGAACAGGTTTGTGGGTGGTCCCCTTCTATGGGGTTATGCAAAGTTCAAACCAACTTACTTCCTGCACCACAAGGACCTTCAGGGGAGGCAAACAGAACCACGTGATAACTACGGGCCTGGGAGATGGAGGCATCTTTACTTTTCTCGTTTCCCCCCTTAGCCTTAGACTTTTCTTGCCACGTTCATTTGGCTGGGGTTTGTCTGGTCCAGTCCTCCGGTCTGGGCAGAAGCCATAGTGAGGCCCAGGCACAACAGTGCCTGTCCTTGGGAGAAGTCACAGAGTTTCTATTCTAGCTTCTTCACCTTCAGGATTTCCAAGTTGGGAAGGAGAAATTGAGTTCCCCCTCTCCCTCCCTCACCCTTCCTTCATCACTTTATGCCTTAAGTGGGAGACAGCCTTCTGGCTGGCACATGCTTCTACCCAAGGGCTGTGAGTTATGTCCTAATCGGGCAGAGAAAAGGAGCCAGTATTTCCACCACGGGGCAATAACAGCAATCCGAGGAACGCTTTGAAGAGATGCGAGAAGCATCCGAGGACAGGGCCCTCTGGTTGCCACTGATAGACATCTATGTCGTCAGCAGCCAGCTGGAGCAGGAGCGCAGTCAGCTCTCGGCTCCTCACTGACGTTACTGAGGTTTGCCTGGGAGAAGGAGGGAGGGAGGGAAGGAGAAAGGAAAAGGGGGGGGGGGTGGCGCTGCTCCGTGACTCTCCTTTCCCAGAGCTTCATCGCTGGTACCAAAGTCTCACCAACTGCTTTCCAGGACTGCGCGGGTCACCCGAGGAGGGAGCAGCAACCCCTACATCAACGTAAGGGGACGCGCCACCCCCTCTCCCCAGCCTGGGACTGGATCTCCACTCCCCCGCCTCCCTGCCTCCCTCCCCCAGCGCATCTTGATCTAGCCTGGAGCTGCAGCCCCGGCGGGCGTGCTGGTGATGGATAGGGGCTGGGCAGTTCTCCCCGCCTGCTGGCCGGGGCAGGGAGCAGAGATGCAGGCGCCGCTATCCACCCCCGGCTTAGCTTGGCGGGGGGGGAGGGGGGGGGGGGGGGGGAAAGGAGGAGGGAGGGAGAAAGGGGAAGGGGTTTGTTTCCTGATTGGTTGCAGAGCGCCCCAGAGCACAGGCTGGAGAGGTGACAAGAGAGGGAGGAGGGGGTAAGGGGCTCCAAACTAAGTGCGGCGTCTCTCTGCTGGGGGAGGGGGCGGAGGAGGGGGAGGGAGGAGGGAGAGAAAGGAAGCCGTGGCGTCTAGGCTCTTGCCTGGGTAGCCTGAGCCGGGCACAGCCCCAGCTAGTGAGTGGAGCGGCCGCAGGCAGCCAAGATGAGCAGCCGAGTGACTTTCTTCGAGGTGGGTGAATGCATGACACTTCTCTTTTTCAAGTTTTGAGCAGGGCATCCGGGGGTTCTGACAGTGCTCTCGTCTTCACTCTCCGGCGGGCAGTGAATCCCCATCCCTCCCACCCCGGGACGTCCACTAGCCAGAGGCGTCATAGCCCGAGGGAAGCACAGGGAGAGTCTCCCTGGCGGACAGGGGAGCAAAGTTGAGAACTGTCTGGGGAAGGATGGTGTACGTGGACGTCATCGGGGAGGGGGATTCGGCTGGAGCACAGCCAGAGACCGTGCCACTGAGACCTGGGGTTTACGACAACCCAGCGCTCGCTGTCCTGGGGTCTAAGATGCCCTCTCCACGCCGAGGTTCCGGCTGAGAGCATCAGCGGAGGTGACGGCAGCCCTCCTCAGCTCCTCTGCATTGGAGCCGGGGCCAGAGAGACTGGCGACCTCTCAACTTAACTACCATTTCTCCCAAGGAACAGTACACTTGGCAGTTATTCTTATAGTCCCGTATGGGAAAAGCCCTAAAGAGGATGGCGGAGGTATAGGGAAACCCAACAGTAGCAAACGCCCTCTCCTTGAGTGACACTCATATTGTGCTTATAGCGGCCCCGAAAGGGAAGGGTGAAGTTGAACTCAGCGGTGTTGCCCACCGCTGCACCTCCTGCAAGGCTGGCTGTTAACTAATGGGACCCTTTGAAGTGTCTGAAGTGTGTCTGCGTTCTGATGTGGTGGGTTTCACTTGGGATTAAGTTTGGGAAAGACGGATAGCACTGAGAGGAGAACAGTGCCCATCTCCTCCAGCACTCCAAATGCATAGCGGGCATTCGTGGTATTCTGAGCTCTTAACTCCCTTCCTGCCCTTTACCTGACTGTCAGAGATCAGACATAGGGAAAGGAGGGGAGACATGGACGTCATCAGCAATCAAATGTATCACCAAAACAACTCTCAGAATTCTTGAAAGAGAGCATGGAATAAGGCTCATGCTAAATGTAGCTTGCCTTGCCTTATATATAAAAGGGAATTTTAAAATGTCATTGCCAGGCACATACTGCACCCCTAAAGGGTTTGCAACCCCCTTCAAAGCTTAGGTAGTGTTCAGCTCCAGAGCTATTTCTTCACGGTGATGACATCTCCCCTCCTCACTTTACCAGCTGCCAAAGATTTCTTTCATCTAGCGACAGAATTGTTTATATATAAATTGTCATGTATCATCTATCCCGAAAAACACAGTTCTTTACAAACATCAAAGACTGAGAACCATTCCCAATTGTGTGTGTGTGGGGTGGGGGGGAGTTACATAGGAGAAAGTATCCAAACATTTTGGGATGGAAGCCATCTGGAGTTTTTAACAGGGGCACACTTCTGGAGGAATTCAGAAGAAAACTGTGAGCTAGTTTTTCTGATATAGTCTAGCATTTCAAACTCATGAGATCCTGCAAAGAATTTGGACAGATACCAGTTTCATATTATGGAAGGAAAACTCTCTCTTTCCACATAAAATCATGAGAATTTCTCCCTTCTTAGTAAGTTTTGACTAAGTGTATGCTGAGTGCCTGAAAGACAGTATAGGGTCCTGGATTGAAGGCAGGGCTTGAATTAAGGAAGACCTGGGTTCCAGTGTTTCTTCCAACACATATTAGCTATATGGCCAGCAATGAGGTCATTAAACCTCTCAGTGCCCTCAGGCAATTCTTTAAGACTGTAAAATACAGAGAACATACCAATCTGTGTCAGTGAAGAAACTTTCCACAACAGGCATTCTCTACACTGATGAAATCATAGCTTGGTTCCTCTGGATCTACCATTATGCTGGGTACTATATGATACAAGAAACAAGAAGTGATCCTTGCCCACAAATTTTATTATGATTTTCTTATGATGAAATAGGTCTTTGTGTTAATATTGACTAGTTATAAGAAGCAAGAACAATTCGCTCCCTCTAGGGAGGCAAGATGGTGCAGTGGTCTTAAACACTTCAGGTATATCCTTGGCTCTGTAATTAAAATTCCACTGAAAAGTGTGCAAGTCATTTAATCTCTCTGAGACTCAGTTTCCCCATTTGTAAAGGGGTGATAATACCTCAAAATTGTTATTATGAGGTTCAAACGAGATAATGGATATAAGTAAACTCATTCTGCTTTGCAAATGTCAGCTGATCTTATTATAGTGAGGTTACTTAATTTTTACTTAGTTCATTTCTTTTTGCATTCATTTCTCATAAAGCTCAATTTAGCTGTGATTTCATTTGGTGGGCTCATGGGGAAAAGTGGGGGGGGGTAGTGTTTCTGAATAACAGTGGAGAATAGGGCCAGGTTCTTTTTTAACTGCCTTAGAATAATTTTAATTTCAGTCATTGCCAGATTTTCTCACATGTGAACAAAAGAGAATGAAGATGGAAAGAAGGAAAAACCTGCATAACAGCTGAGAAAATAAAAGAGGGGAGATTAAATGGGGAATGGGGAGTCATTTAAGGAAGTAACCCCTTTATATACCTGCCAAGACCTTTAGTTACCTCTCTATATCTTTATAGACTCAAGGATGGGGTAGGAGGGACAGCATGGTAGATAATGGTATCCCTGTGCTAACTGGAATTCTCTCTCCATAGCCCAGATGAACATTACACCTCAAAACCAAAGAATTGGGCACTCAGCACTTTATTTTAAAGGACAATAATCTCAGACTGTTACATTTTGTGGACATCTCATAATGTAGTTTGTCTTGGCAAATGTACTAATTACCAGAGACTGTGTGTTTCTTATGGGCTGTATTGTACTTGAATTGTACATGTGCTTATTCTGGGGGCTGAACTGCAATTTTATGTCATTAAAAGCATATTTTAAGTCAATAATTCAGGAGACAAAAGCAAGCATTCACTCTCTAGTCATCACAACCAATTCAGGGGATGTGACATTAGAGCAGCTGTTATTGCTAAAACTAGCAGTCACTAGTGGGCAGATCCAGCATTCTAAATAGTGGTTAGGTTTGTTGGCCTCTAATAATATCCAGTTACTTTTTAAAATCAGCTTAGATTGCTTTGAGTTTGGGAGCAAAAAGGAGACATAAAAAGGAAGAATCATAATTTAAGCTTTGGGACGGACATTCTAAGGAGCTTTACTTATTACACAGAAATCAGTATGAGTTACAGGAATCACAGAAGAAAGCTCAGGGCCATCTGGTTCAACCCATACTCCTCAAGTGAAAATCCCCACTACAACAGACTTAACAAGAGGTCACTTAGCCTGTGCTGGAATATCTCTAGTGAGGGGCAACCTATTACCTCCAGAAGAAGACCATTTGTACTTTCTCACAGATTTAATGGCTAATTCCTGACATCAAATTTCAATTTGCTTCTTTATTGCTTCCACTCATTGCCCTTGCTTCCGCCCCAGGGGACCAAACATTAAAAGGCTAATTCCTCTTCCTCTTGGTAGCCCTTCAAATATTTAAACACTGTGGCCATATCCTCTGAATTTCCTCTAGGCTAAACGTCCCCAATTCCTTCATCTAGTCTTTGTATGACAGGGTCCTTCACCCTTCTTGGCTGCCCTCAATTTCATTTGTACACTGTGATATCCAGGACTAAGCACAATACTCCCAGACATTCTCTACAATGTCCCAGAATACCTTCATCTCTTTTCCCCAACCCTTTTTCAGCTTCCTTTTATGTGTTGTCTTTCCCAATTAGAGTGTAAGCTTCTTAAGGGCAGGGACTAACTTTCTTTCTGCAAGCATTTGTATTCCCAGCACATAGTAAGGGCTTAACAAATACTTGTTGAGGTGACTCCACCTTCAGTCTGACCAGGGCAGAGTACACAGGGACTATCACCTTCTTATTCTTGGAAGCCATTTCTCTATTCATGCAGCCCAAGATGAGCTTTATCGGCTGCCATGTCATAATGCTGAGTCATATTGAGCTTGCAGTCCATGAAAACACCCAGATTTTTTTCAGACAAACTGTAGTCTAACCATGCCTTCCTTATCTTGTACTTACGAAACTGACCTTTTGAACCTGTGCAAGATTTTACATTTATCCCTTATTAGATTCAGCCCAGTGTTATAGCCTGTCAAAATTCTTTTAGATCTTGATTTTGTTATCCAGTACATTAGTCATCCTTCCTAACGTTGCATCATCTGCTAATCTGATGAATATAACATCTATCCAAGTCATTGATAAAATTATTAAGTAGCACAGGGCCAAGCACGGATCCTTAGGACATTCTACTGAAGATTTCCTGCCAAATAGACATTGAACCATTAATGACAACTCTTTGAGTTTGGCCATTCAACCTTTTCTGGATTCATCTAATTATATTATTATTGAGTTCATATCTCTTCATGTTTTCCACAAGAATAATATAAGATATTTTATCAAACACTATGCTAAACTCTAGGTCAACTAGCTATGCCAGAGGTGTTAAACATGACCCACAACACTCCCAAGTATAGCCTGATCTAGATTAAAATGTAATTGGGAAATATTTAACACAATAAATAAAAATATAATAAAATGTAGACAATGTTGATATATGGTTTTCTAAGTCAATATGTACCCACAGAACTCCTTATGTATGTTTTAGTGGTCCCCATTTCTATTTGAGTTTGACATCATTGATCAGTACTATTCCTAGATCTGTCAGTTTAGTAATCTTGTCAATAAAGGAATTAAATTTAGTTTGGTATGCTTGGTTCTTGAAGCTATGTTGGCTCTTTGGGATCCTCACTTCTCTTTCTAAATATTCACTATGCATCTTTTTAATGATCTGCTATAGAGTTCTTCTAGCATTTAAAGTCAAGCTCGTTGACCTGGAATTGGTACTGTCTTCTATTTTATCCTATTTAATTCTATTCTATTGTATCCTTCAAAAGTTGGAACATTTGACCTTTTCTAGTCTTTTAATACTTCTCCCATTCTCCATGGTCTTTCAAATATCACTGACCATGGCTCAGCAATCACATTTTCCACTTCTTTAAATATCCAAGGCTACAGTTGACCTAGACCAGGTGAATTGAAT